CCCTGCCTTGTCTTCAAATTACTTAATTTTAATGGCCAGCCATATCGCAAGAAAAGATTGAGTCGTATAGGGAAATGTATACACCCCGTTGTGGGCGGTGAGCTTTTTATGAACTCAACAGCTTGTGGCGCTAATCGAAATAGAATGCTCAATCTGATTTATTTTTATTCAAAAGAGGTTTGTTTTTTATTAAGAGGACTGAAATGGAAATTTTAAATAGTTCTGTTTCGAATAAGGCTGAGGTGTTTTGTAATTCATTTTGAGTTTATAAATTGTGGATTAACTTCTACAACAAGGAACCCTGCTATTTCAGCAATTTTTTTCATTGTTGAGTTTTATAAATGTATAAAAAAAGGGGATAAATTAAAATAAAAAAAAAAATAAATTACAAAAAATACGAAAAGTTTTTGTCTGGAACTGGGAATCAAAAAAAAGAAAAAGCTAGTTTAAACATTGGTAAAGTTAAACATGGCTAATCCAAAAACGTATTAAAATAAAAATGACTTATTAATATTTAAGCTATTATTCCAAGCAGTTTCCCAATTAATTATGATTTTAAAAAAAAAGTAGATTTGTCAAACAAGCCTAATAATTTAAAATAATGTTTTTGTTATAAGCCGTATTTCTTATTAATTAATGTTTTCATAGCTCTAAGTTGTCCATATGTATAAATAAATCATTTCCACTGCATAATGTTTACATTTTATTAAAGTGCATTGTTTTTATTTATGTTCATATTGTTAAGCATTTTTCTTCCGTTGTTTGGTTTAAGTTTCTACTCCACCGACGGCAAGTGGACACCGACATTCTGGGATCGCCGGCAAATGGTTGCCCCTACAACAAATACACCGCACTACTACTCACACTCACACTCTCACAACAGCAACAATAGGAGCTGTCAAAACGGCGGCCATATTGAAAGTCAGTCAAGTATTTCGAAACTCGGGGGCGGAGCCAATCGACGCGCATGCGCATGCGCATGGGGCAAGTGCAAGTGCGAGCGAGGCGACAAGTGTGTGCGTATAGTGCGTCGCATGAGTAGCGGCCATGCCACCGTTATTTCTGTATCTTTTAGGATGAAGGTGTGGAGTGGAGTGGAGTGGAGTGCTGTGCTGTGCCTTCGACGTCGCATGCGCATCGCACGGCTGAAACGGAGGAACTGCTCAGGTCCGCTCGAGGGTCCGGGCTTAGGTCCGGGTCGCGAGTTCTCGAACTCGAATTCGAAGTCGAACTTTTGGTGGTGTGGGTGCCCGCTCTCGCTCTTTCGAGCAGCAGGTTCAATGTATTGGTGCACCACTGCATTAGTATTGGTGCGATCTTCGAATTTTCGCAGTTCGAAATCGATTACGAATTCGAACCAAAACCGGACTTGAGTTTGGTACTCGGTCTGGGCCCATAACTGGTTTGCTCCGGGCCCAGTTTACCTGCCTGCTGTTCGGGTTCTCTGCATGGGTATCTCTGCATCTGTATCCGTATCTTTGCATCTGTGAGTGTGCTGGGTCCATTTGCGACTCCAAAATCCCCGGCATAACCACTGCATTCGGTTAGGCGGTTGCCCGAATCGCTTTTTGGGAGTTAATATTCTATTAGGAGCTCATTTGGCTGATTGCCAGCCAGGATGTGTAATGGTCTTTTTGCGCAATTGAATTTGGCGAAGGGAACCACGCAACTGGAGTTTGTTTTCCACTTCTAATTATCGACCATTCGCTCATTACATGATTTATGTGCCCCGCTCAATATCGCCTTGATGGATCGATGGCCGATCGATTGATGGATTGTGTGAACCCGGTCTCCGAGCACTTGTTCGCTCGCATCTCGCTGTCTTCATTATTGGCTCGAGTGGATTTCTGACATCTTGCTTTGTTTCCAACAAATTCTCAACCGTCCTCAATTTGCTTTCCGTAATTAATGATTTATCTCAGTTTTTTTGAAGTGTTGTCTTAATTCCAGCGAAGTGATTATTGATAGTTTCTCCATCGCACTCACTCAATTTGAAAGTGTGAGATGTCTCAAGTGACTTGGTATCCATCTCCGATTGGCCCTAGGCAGATGTTTTGATCAACAAATGTTGCACTTCACTTGTTTACATTTACATGAATATTTTTTGCCACTTAATACTGATCGTTTTGCATATTACTGGTAACTTGGAAGACTTAGTATCATCGATTCAGAACCACATCTTTGGGAGTCGAAAAAACTTTAGAACTAAAAAACTAGAATTTATCTTCTGTATTACTGAATTATTTGGAATTGCTTTTTCTCTATTTCAATTAAAATAAAAATACATTTGGGCTTAGATAAGTGAAATTTTAATTTTTTGCTTTTTAAAATATATTTAACTGTCTCGTCTCACATTATAATATAACTAATAATCATAATCGTTGCCGTGCATAAGCATTTAAACTTATTGAATAGTTTATTTGATTGTGTACATGTCTCTATTGTTGTAATTTAAATGTATATATTGTACATTAGTTGTCAACTACACAATAACTAAATGTTATTCTTAGCTTTAATTTGCCAAACATACACCTTAATACAAAAAGTATGGGTAATTTAGTATAAATTACAAAACTGCCCCTCGAAAATGTCTCTGTAATAAGCCATTCAACTCATTATCACACCCCATCGAATATGAGATTCACAGCATAAGTATGTACCCTTTTACAAGATTTTTCTTTATATTCTGGGGGCTAGGTGGAAATCATATCGAAAATTCTATTTGAGGGCCAAGTGGGAACCATTTTAATTAACTTCAGCAGACCGAAAACCAAATAGGAACTCAAACTTGGCAGAAAATCTTGTGGGAATAGATGTGTCCTCTCGATGTCGCTGATTCGGCCATGGAAATGGAATATTCACGTTCGCATCCGTGGGTCCAAATTGGCAGCTGCTCAAATCTGAGGCTATTTATGTCAACTATGGATGCGTTGTGATTCCGGCAAACACCTCGGCGCGAATGTTTACATCTATTGCGCCAGCAGAAACACAACGATGACTGCTGGGAATTCTCAAAAGTCGAAATTCTGCCCGAATTATTCATGTGATTCTGTGACACAATCGTGAGCACATTCACTGAATTTCGCGATTACAAATGGCCGGCGATTATGCGAACAATGAGAATTCAATTTGTTTGAGCTCCTGACTGCCCGAAGATCGGGCTGAGTCGAGTTGAGGCCAGTTTATGCGGGTGGAGCAGCTGCTGATCGTGGTCTTCGGGTCCGGGGCTCAGGTGTCTGCGTTGGTCATTGGTTAGAGCTTTGTTAATGCCAGTTGATTAATCGCTTATTATGATGTCAGATTAATAAGATCGTTTTCAAAAATGGTCCGCGCTCGAGGCCTGCAAAAAAGAGTAAATGTTCAGTGAGTCGTTCCACGTGAAATTGTTATATCAATGCGGTGCTTACCCTCTGACATAATCAACCTGCCTCCGTGCGATCACTGTAAATAAAAGTCACTGAAAATACAAGAAATTATTAAGTGACCATAAAAACAGTGCTTTTGAAGAGCTTACCTCTTGTTTAAGAAGCTCGGGACATCTCTCGCCAAATAAAAACCCATCCCAGTGAAATGCACTTCAAAGTAAATTTTTAAATACTATATTTTTATTATAAATATTACAAATAAAAACAAAATCTCATTTGTAATTTAATTATAATTTTCTTTATGCTTTTCGCTTTGCCTTTTGCAGCACTTCCACTGCATTCTTCACCATCTTGTTTACACTAATGTTTAAATTTTATTTACAACAAATTGTTTAGCTTCCACATTTCGTTTCCATTTCGCACAAATGTTTGAGTGTATTTAATGTTTTTGTTTTGTTTCAAATATATATATATATATTTATATCAACGCTTCCGAATTTTGTTTCTTGTGAATTTCTACATTCTATATTTATTTTATTTTCCAATTTTTTTTTGTTTTTTCTGAATTGAAACTTAAGTATTTAGTTTCTTACAGAATGAGGCCGAAAGTTACGTATCTGGATTGAGTTGAATTTCGCTCTCAAGGTTGTTTTAGCCAATACATCGTAAAGTTTTATTTCATTTCTTTTGACTATTTTCATCTATTGCAAATCACAAATCCTTTCACCTGGGATTGGGAATCGGCTGGGGAAGGGAAGGGGTTTTCTGGGGAATTTACAAAACGAAACGCTCTATAAAGTTACATGTTTTATATTAGGCTTGTTTAATTATATATATCTACATATAAACATATGATGCTTTATAGTTTTTCCTTCCCATCCTTCTTTTTCTTTCTCCTTCGTTCCTTTGACTTTGGTATATGGATTTCCACAGATGGCGTGGAAATTGAGTTTGAGTTACGTACATACATTTATATAGTTGTTAGGCGAATATTCATATAGAAATCGTTCGGTTCTGCTTTCAAAGAGGATTTTCAACATCCTCACATAATAATGCATTCTTTTCATTTTACTACTTTACAGGGTCTTAGTGTGAATTAATAATTTTTACATATTCATTGTTTTCCTCTGTTAACAGTTATATTTCTCTTCTTCACTTGCCAATTCATATTTTTATGCATTTCGGTATACTTTATATCCTTTTCGACCTAATTCGAATTTTATTTTCGCAAGAACTAAAAATTGCACAAGAAATTAAAATTAAAAGACAATACAGAAATAATGGTTCTTTTAACCAAAACTTGAGAAACTCTCAAATTGGTTTCAAGTTTAAAATTGATTTTTGAGATTTAAAAAGTTTAATTTGTCGTCGAATTTTTACATATATTACTTTGCAGTTTTGCCAATCATTTGCGATTCCTTTCTATTTATAGTTAAGCTTCTGCCAGTTAATAGTTTTGTTTTTATTGTATGCGTAAAACGCTTTGTTTACTTTAAGCAACGTTTGTCCGTGGTTTTGGTATTTCTTTGTCTAAATTTGCGACATTCACTTAGGGCAAAATTTTCTATTATCATGTTCTGTATTATGAAATATTTATGGGTTTCTTGAACCAACATGCAATGGATATTGACGCCATTTGGTTTTTCGAAGATGTTTATTGATTTTTATTTTATACTTTTGCGCTAGGACTGCTACAAACATTGATTTAGTTTTATCTTTAGGTTTAGGGTTTATGCTGGGGTGTATATATAAGTTAATCGTACAGTACTTATGACGCGTAGAACTAATGTTATCGTGTATATAGTATATATGCTTCATATATATTTATTTATATATAACTCCTTGCCTTTAGCTTTACTTGGTATCATGTATAGTTATCCATATATTTATGTGTATATATATGCATTATAGTTAAATATAGCTTATTTAGATCTGAGGTCACATGAGTTGGTTTTGTTTGAGTTTTACGCTTTACTTGTATCTTGTATCTTTATCTTTATCTTTATCGTAATCGTTACCTTTACGTTTATCTTATTTCGCTTTCTCCACTTGCCATTCGTGTACAATTAAATAATAAGTAGAAAATAATAACAATTAACTAAGTTGTAGGCAGCGTTCTCAGCACTGCTCTTTGTTTAGTTTAGTTTAGTTTAGTTCACGCGAAGTTCAACGGATTGGATAGGTAGTAGATAGTCCTCTGGGATCGAAGTAAATTCATTTGCGCTCTCGGAACTAACGTAAATTGTATTTAGATAGAAATTTCATTTAACTGGTGCGTCGGATCTACTGCGGACTGTTGGGTGGCGTTATCTCATCGCCCTCGCCTCCGGATCCCGGCTCGCCCTTCGTCTTGTTCTCCTTCTTCCACTTCATGCGCCGATTCTGGAACCAAATCTTTATCTGGCGCTCCGTGAGACACAGGGCGTGGGCGATCTCGATCCTCCGCCGGCGGGTCAAGTAGCGATTGAAGTGGAACTCCTTCTCCAGCTCCAGCGTCTGGTACCGGGTGTACGTCTGCCTTCCGCGTTTGCGTTCTGTTGGTTGCAAGTAAACAAAACAATATTCACAATTAAAATCAATGCAACGCTTGACCGGCCACCAAATCAACAACAACAACATCTACTATATCTACAGGTCCACTACAATGCATACAACAACCAGAGCTGGAATAAAATGTATATATGTTCTTTTTCTTTTCTCTCTCCCGCAGAATCGGACGAGGGATCGCGGGTTTGAGGGAACTCAAAACCACATGAAGCAAGGCGCTGAGACTCTGAAACTGAGGCTGATTAAAAGACAACCTTACCGAATTCGGATATTTGTACTTGTCAAAAAAAGGAGAAAAACAGAGTCCACAACAGGTCTGTGACGAGGGGCAGAGGCTAAAGGGGTCTCCCTCCTCTCTGTCGGCCATCCCGATAGGAACTCTGGGTTTAATTTTCAAAGCATACCCTTCTCATGGGTATTTTCACTTACAGGGAGGACTAAATGCAATGGTTTTGATGGGAATGTTTAATATATAAGATATTTCGGATTGTCACAAAAATGTATTCTAACCAAATTCAAACCAAAGTTTAAAAGACTTTGGGAATGACAAGATTTTTAAAACGTGTTTTTAATTCAGCAAAAGTCTTTTCAGAAATGAAAAACGAAATATTTTTGTGATATATTAAAAGTTCTTTTAGCATTGTAGTTCTTTAAAATAGATTTGATTGGATAGATACAAATTATAATACAAAATACATTTATTTTAAAATCCGATAAGACAAGACTGAGTCTTCAAGATTATTTTAAAAATCCTTTTTAAATTTGATAATTGAGATAATTATAGGTTTTTCCTTCTATTTACGTATCGGATGAAAGTACATTATTTTTAAGCGACGTAATTTTCGGTAAGAGCATTAAACTTTCGATTATGTATCCAACCTTTTGATTTACTTGTGGATTAAACCCGGCGGAGATTTCATGGACATCAAGCGGCGAGCAGACAAGGTAACTAATTATGCCCCAATGCGGTCTGTCCGTTCATCTGTCCGTCCGTCTGCCCGTATCTTTGTCCGTAAGGCGGAGCGGTATCATGCCTGTGATTCGGGCAAGTGCAGTTTCACCTTCGTATTGCTCCCCCTTGGACGGTAGCTGGGTATAACTGTAAACTAATTCGGCATAATTACGAAGGCTAACTCCCCCTCCGGTCGAAACCGCTCCATTTCGAAAGCAACCAACCAAATGAGTTCGGCGCCTAATGACACTTACTATAATTATAATTTCGGTTATGACAAAAAAAAGAGCATAGTGAAAATGTCGGGAAAAAATATGTCAAATATAATACGCAGCAGCAAATATTATAATTGTCAATGGCGAAGGCAAAGGTAGGTAATTGAAATGGTTTGCTAGCGTGAGAAGCCACTTTTGGGTGGAGTTTTCCCGGCCACTTCTTGAGGGTATTTTTCTGTACTTTTTTGAGGGTTTGGAAAATGTCCGGCCGGAAATTGGAAGGCGGCCACAGCAGCATTGGCATTGCGGTGGCTTTTGACCAACCACGCCAAGCGGCAATCAGTGGAAGGCCCCTCGCCCAAAACCCGTCCCCGAGGTGGGCAGTCTTAACTATTTTTTAATAACATCTTCAGCATTTGTCTTGCTCAACTTGGTCGTCCAATTTTTTTCTTTTTAATATTTTATGTATTTTTTTTGTGTCTTCCATCTCTGGCTCGAGGTCATTACATCATAAGCTCTTTTATGTATTTTTTCCCGAAGTATTCGTTTTTTTTTTTCTGTATTTTGTGCGGCATCCATTAAGGCGCGCGAATCCAAATCGGATAGAACCGCAGGAGGGGGTGGCTATATAGAGAGGGGAGCAGCACAGCGGTGGTCAGCGCAGCTACCTTCTTTTAAATGACACGGCTGATGCCATGTCTATAACCCGAGGCGTTCGCATTTAATCATCATCAGTTAGACGAGTCGCTGTGCCGGTAAAAAATCTTGAAAGATTTGTGGCAAAAAGCGTGCGTGGTCATCCCCCTCGGCAGTTGGACCCATCCTTCAGTCTGCAGTCCGCGAAGAATCCACGGGGGGAAGTCCAAAGAGTTGAGTATTAGGAGCGGATTAAGAGCGGAATAAATGGGATGGACTTTCACCCCAGATGATGGATAGCAAGAAGGGAGGTGTACTACGGAGTACGATTTAAGAGTGATGTGCCAAAAAAATGTATTTGATAGTTTCTGTTTAAATCTGCAACGCAGAATTGATAAAACCACTTTGATGGAATGGAAATTAAACTAATTGAAATCGTAAAAATAATCATTTCAAAAGAGGTAGTCATTATCACTCATTTTTCTAATCAAATACACCATTTGTTTCTGTCTACCCATAAGCACTCTTGTAGTTCCCTTCTGATCACTATCTCATTCTTCCTTTGGTACATTTTCAGCACATTTCCATTTCCATTTTCATTTGCATTTACACTCCCCTTCGACGTAACAGAAGCTTTCGCTGATAATTAACAACACAAAGCTGTACGCCTGCCCCTCATGCATTGCAAATAAATAATTATTTTAATTGATGAAAACACCTACAAGTTGTGCATACAAGACCGGCGTCTGTCTTAAAAAATAGAGTTGGCAGGGGGGTAAGTTTTCGAGGGGACGGAGTGGATATGGCAGGAGGGGCGTGCATTGGCAATTTAAGAGCGGGCGCTCTCTGAAATTTGTTTTTAATGATGCCTTTGCACATTTCATGTATCCATCACTCAAACAAAACAAAAAAGTGAAAAAGACAAGAAAAAATACTTGTTTTTCTTAGATATTGCTATGGCGAACGTGAATCAGTTGGGGCGCCCTTTTTCTGGACAGGAGCTTCGAATTGAGCGCTGAAAAATTATTATAAACGCATTAATGGCGCTTTGAAGGCAAGAAGCAACGTGAAGTAAAGTGAAGGACAGGGGAAGATGGAGCACAAGGTGGAGGTATCAACAACAGAAATATAATAAAGGTGAAACAATTAATATGAAAAAGAGTAGCGATACATATGAAGTACCAAAGGCAAGACCTCTGACGTTCTCCGCTCCTCTCCCCTGCCACGCCCCCACCCTGCTGCCACTCCCCCCGCCCCCTGCCGCCCATACATCTAAAGTGGCTGAGTGGTTGACTGACGGACCGAGTGAACCGGGGGCATTAATGCTTTTTGATATGAAAGCGTATTGTAATTAAATTGCGATTAGGCCACCATTTTAACCATTTTACTCGTTTATTACACTGCTCCGGCTCCATAATGGATTTTATTTCATTTTCTTCCCCTTCCCCTACCGCAGCCCCCTCTTCCCGCACACACAATTACATTAGTGCTATTGGCTGTATGTGTGTCGGTTAACGTTTAAAGGAAATCATTAAAATAATTGCTAACAACATTTTATGGAATTCGTTGAGGCAGGAAAAAATTAAAAAGCATTATTTAATAGCTGAAAAAAATTCTATTTTATAATGCCCATAATAAATTATTATATTGGCACAGATTGCTTTTTCATCACACATCAGCCACGTCGAGCGGAACTAAAACAATGGCCAGCATCGTGCGAAGAAGTCGAGAAAATGCGAGTTTAATTTCTATTTCTAGAGGGCAGGCCTTGCAAATAATACAATTTTAGACTTGATAGTGCATATACATATTTGGCATTAATCTTTAATCTTCCTCTACTAAGGCTTTATAACTAAGTTTATAAAACTGTTGACAAGATTTTACTTAAAGACTCTTTGTTCTTTTTAAAATTAAAGTTATTTTTTTTGAATAAGTGATCCCCTTGGTTAATGATTTTTTCTAGGCAAAAATAAATGACATTACTGCAGATAGCCTCCAAAATAGATGACTGGCCCCAGGTTAAGGCTATGTCCATTCCCAGCTGCAGTTGGGTGGTCGCCGCAGCCGTTGCAGTTTTCTTGGCCAAAAAGCCGCTCGTCATGCAACAAATACAAAAATGCATTTAGCAGTAAACAAAACGAAACGTAAACAAGTACAAGCCACCGAGCAAAAAAAAAGCTCACATCAAATGCGAGTAAATGTTTTTTTAATTGCGGAAATTACAGACAAACGCGAGCCGCCGCAACAAAAGCTGGAAAATTATTATTATTTATAATCGTAAGTTGATAAATATTTCACCCAGCTGAGGAGTGTTCGTGTGTGGCATTTTGTACAAAAAAAAGCAGACAAATACCGCTGGTTGATGTCACTTTATTCTCTGTGCTGTTCTGGTGTGAATCTGCCAACTCATTCGATGACTTTGTGCTAAATAAACAGTGGGTTAAGAGGGGGACAGGGGCAAATTGAAGTGGGTGCTCTTTTTAACCAAAAAGTTTTCCACCCATTTGATTGTTTTGCATATTTGACGTATTTTTGCCGTCGCAAACTTTCAGCTTGGTGTTTTACAACCTTTGGGGAGTTTAGCGAAAATGAAACGAAAAGTGGCAGGAATAAATATAACCCCAAATCCTTTTGAGGTTTGATGTCTTTGACTGCCACGCCAACAATTTTTCTCTTTTCCCCTTCTTTTTTTTAATTAAGTCCAAGAATTTTCCTTCGTTTTTTCAGAGGTAAGAGTAACAATTAAATATTACCATTGACCATTTGATCATTTGTAACCTTTTTTTATTTTCATTTGGTTGCCCTTTTTCATCTGGTTATAATCTCGGGAGACTCGACAGCGTTTTTAATTTGGGACTTGTTAAGCACTTAAGAGGGTTAAAAATCGACAAAAGTTGACAAAAAAAAAAAACGGAGCCCAAAAATCTGAGAAAAGAGAGCAGAAAGGATCGCCAAGGAGTTGACTTGGGGCTTATAAATGCATTCATTTTAAGGAAACGAAGAGGGGGACTTTAAACTTTATTTAGTTATCGCTTAAACAAAAGCAAAACGCAAAAAGGAGTGGGAAAATAAGAAAACTATGCGCGCCATCTGATTGTTATTGCGGGCTCTTCTTTCGTTCTTTCGGTCGGTTCCCTTTCGAACCACCGTCTTGGCCATCTACACTTAAAACATTATTACCAAA